GAGAACTTGAAATAATCAGTTTCTTGGAAATCTACTCATTGGCCTCCATAAACATAAAGGGGGGCTTGTCCATAAAATCACAAGCAGGAGATGATTTAAAGTACAAGGAGGAAGTACCTTTATCCTTCAAATGTGTCACCATTTTTCACTCTGCACATTTCAGGAGATGGAATGAAGGAAACTTGCATTTATAACAAATATCCTTAGTGAAATTTTATTTGCTTAATGATACAGATATGGCCTAAGTCAATAGTCAAATAAAATATAAACACATGCATATCCCTAAAAATAAAAATAAATTATTCAAAAATGTAAGATTCAGAATTTTATTATTTTCCTAAAACATCTAATAGCCAAAATTTGCTAAAGCTTTGGTTTTATTTTGTTCCTTTTAAAAATCAACACTTAAATATATATATCAAAAGCATGTATTTGGGGGCTGGAGAGATGGCTCAGCGGTTAAGAACACTGGTTGTTCTTGCAGAAGACCCAGGTTTGAATCCCAGCATCCACATGGACGCTAACAACTGTCCGTAACTCCAGTCCCAAGGATCTGACAGCCTCTTCTGATCTCAGTGGCCACTGCATAACACGGGTGCACTTACTTACATGCAGGCAATACACGTATGCACATAAAATAAAAATGATAAAAATTTTTAAAAAGCATGTATTTTACTATCTCTACCTATGGCATTAACCAGTATTTGAGCGGCTCCTATTATGTTAACTAATTCAGGAAAAATATAAAAATTAGGCTTTGCTTTCCTGAGGAAATTTCTTCAGAAACAATTTATACACACAATGAAAAATAAGAAAAGGTGGGGAAAAGAAACTAGTTAAATATTTTGTGCAACCCACATTACAACAAAATATGCACACATACACACAGCAAGTTAAGGAATATAATGAAATTCATTTAATAGGCATATTTCCTATAAGCAATTTGTCATAAGTTTTACATTCTATAGGTTCATATGAAAAACAAAAGTAGGCACAGATGATGCAAAATATACCAAACAGAACATCTTGGAGATGCTTATGTTGTTGCAACATCACTTGCTTATTTCCAAATCTCTCACATTATGGACAAGAGTCTGGTGCAATTTTGTTGAAAAACAAGCACATTTTATGCATGTGATTTTTGACTATTATTCCATCTCACTAAAAATATAATTTCCTACAAATTCTTTGAAGTGTTAAATTAATAGTATTTGGTTTGTACATATCAAGAAAATTATCCCATCACAACAAGAACAGAATTTAAAATTTACCTAGCTAAATAAACCCTGCAAAAGACACTGGATTTTATTGGGTGTACAAACAGTAGGGCATTTCCTTGGGTGCAATTTGAAAGCAACACATTTTAATAGCCAATGTTGGACATCATGGTTGCAATCTAAGTGCAGAACATCACAACAAGATTATCTAACACACACACATACACATTACCACTGTTACCACCAGATCAAGCGTCTCAAGGAAGCACAGCCACTTAGTCTTTTGATGTGCATAAAATCAGCACACTTGAATAATTCTAAGTCTTCATTTTTTTTCACTTGGGGGCTTTTTCAGTTGATCTTGTGCTGTTTCTTCATTCTTTTTTACATCTGGAAAAAATAATTATCCATTCATATGGAAAATATATTGAAACATATTTTATAACATAATAGAATGAAGCAGTCATTTTTTTTTTTTTGGCTTTTCTACTCACATTGTTTTCATCTGGACTACGACATATTTTGCTCTCAATCCAGGCAGGAATCCGTACAGAGAAGATATGATCAAGGGGCTCCACCGGCACCCCCTCAACTACTGGATCATGCTCTCTGTGCATCTTTACACTTTTTATGTCCTTTGCTACTTGGAGATAACCTGACATTCTACCTCACAGGAAAAATAGAATCATACCTGCCCTTCAGGTAGGCACGCTCTCAACTTCCTGCCACTAAATGTCTAAACTTCCTTGTGATCTGGGTTTATTGTTTCTGCCCTCCCTCCCTTGATAATGGAAGACAAATTCTCAGGACAGGTAACATAATTTGCTGACAGTAAAAAATGAAAATGTGGCAACTGTGTGGAAGACCAGAAAGTCAAGAGAAATGTGCACAGTGGAAGCCTAGCTCATGAGGTTTCAGAGGGGAACTGAGAAAGGAACTTTATTAAGAATTTGATTAGAGGTTATTCATGTTATATTGTGGCAAGGAGTGTGGCTACATTCTGTCAGTGTCCTGAGGACTTGAATGAGGCTAAACTGAAAAAGCAATTGACAAATCGTTTGGTACGGAAAATTTCAAGATAGTATAGCATTCATATGTGTCATAATTACTCCTCAATGCTCTTATCCATTGTTTCAAGTTAGAGCGAGCAGCCAGTGGAGCAGAAAAATATGAAAAATATACAGTTTGGCAAGGCAGGGAAAATGAATATTTAAAGTTCCAGATGAGGCAGGTGAGGACAAAGCAGCTGTAATTGCTTAAGAGAGTAAGGCAGTAAACCAGAAATCTCATATTTTGCATTGCAACAATAGGAAAGGCACTTAGAGGGCAAGACCCCTCTCATCAAAGACTCCAGTTTGTAGAAAGGCAAATTCATTTGAAGAGGCAGAGACTGAACTGAGAATGCCTATGAAGGGGTTCCTAGCTCCAAAATAACTGCCTAAGGAAATTTCCCAGGTTTAGCTACTAAGTAGTACAAAGGCCACTACAGCTGTGATGGAAGGGGGTCAGATTGCACCTAGAACTGGCAGAAACATCAGCGTTATAAGGTTATGGAGACTTGCACCAAGGTTCCAGAAAGCCACTAAGGTCAATCAATGAGTGACCAGATTTCCTGCAAGGAGGCCACTGCATAACGCTGTGAAAACGAAGCCTAAGTTGCAGCGGCAATAGCGACATGTTTGAGAAGCCAGGATTATGAATGTCCACCAAGGAAAGCTTCAGGAATGGAGTAGAGCTGGCCCCAAAGAGACACTATTATGCTGCAGCTGGCAGAACCACATGAGGGAGACTACACAAGGTTAAGAGCCCAGATAACACCATGCAGAGCACAAGATATGGGACGTGGAGCTCTAGGATTTGATGTTTTCCTTGCTTTGACCTGATCTTTCTTTGCTGTACCTCTCTTCTTCCCTTTTGGAATGATAACTTTTATTCTTGCCATTGTATGTTAGAAGTATATAACTTCAAAAATTTCATAGGGGCTCATAGCTGAGAAACTGCATTGGGTCTCAGAAGACACTTTGGACTCTGGACTTCCAAATAGTGTAGAAACTGTTAAAATTATGGACTTTTGAGTTTGGAATGAATACATTTTGCATTACAAAGTGTCCATGCAACTGTAGGAACTAGGGATTGATTGTTATAAATTAAAGGTGAAGTGTTCGGGTGTCAAATTGACAAAGGGTGGCTTGTAGTGATTAATCTTCATTATCAATTTGACTGGATTTAGAATCTCAGGAGACACATGCCTGAGTATGTCAGTGAGAACATTTCCAGACAGGTTAAACTGAGAAAGGAAGACCCTGAATGTATGCAGAACCATCCCATGGGTTGGCGTCCAGACTGAATAAAAAGAGGAAAAGAAGAAAGAACAACAACATTTCTCTCTTTCTCTCTGTTTCATGACTCTAGTTGCAATTTGACAGGCTAGCACACACTCCTATCACTATGCATCTCACCCCATGATGGACTTTATTCCCTCTTAATCTGTGAGTCAAAATAAACACTTCCTTCCTTAAAATGCTTTTGTCAGGATTTGGTCATCACAACAAGAAAAGTACTAATACCAGATCTAAGCCTGCATATCAGAAGGGTGAGAATTATCCCCGTGAGACTAGATAGCATTAAAGCAAGGGAGCATTGACCAAGTTGTCCAAAGATCAGCCTTTGATACCCTCTAGTCCAACAAGTGACTAGAGAGATGAGGGATAATCATTCAATGATAACAAGAAAACCATGAGATCAGAGTGTCCTGGATGTCAAGGAAAGAAAATTGTTTGGGGAAAGAAGCAATCATCAATGATAAACAAGCTGAAAGGTCATGTATGATGGGACTAAGAATGGATCACTGGTTATAACAAAGATGATTTATGATCTCAAGATTATAGTAGAGTGGTGAAATGAAGGGAAGTCTTACTAGGGTTAGAGAAAGAATGGGAGAAAGAGAAGCAGTAGGCAAAATGCAGCACATGTTCTTACACAGAATTTTGCTCTGACACAAAAGCAGAGAAAACAGGTAGCGGTTGTCAGAAGACTTGAAGGGGTCTGAGTCTCAGCAGTTACAGTTGGGTGCCTTTTTAGTAACATGGCAGGTGTTTCATGAATGCTCATGGAAAGAACTCCTTCAGAAAACACACTTGGCAGGAAAGGGTGCTGTCCAACCCATGAAAAGCAAGTCACTAAATTATTCCTGGAATGGTTTAAGTTTTTGCCACCACTACTTCTGAACAAACTACTCATGAAACATTATCATTTTCTGAGAAGAGTTATGAGATCTGGTAATATTCTAATGCTAGAGGACATCTACTTATTCTCTCAGTTAAACAAGTAATTATTCTATAAATAATATTCTTATTCATATAGAGTAGTAACTTATTCTCAAAATTGACTTAATGAGATGATAGTGACAGGTCCCTTAAGCAATTCTCCAAGAAACAAACTGGGAATTCCTTAGAATAGCCAGGAGAATAGTAGATGAATAAGATATTATCTGTTGACAATTTCTGGCTAGTATATGAAATGTGCCCACCCCTATCTGAGGAATGATTGGCAACTGATGGCTACTGGGAGAGGGAGAGTCAGTTTTCTTCAGGGATGTTTTCCCTGAGAAACTACCCATGCTCTGAATGTAGGCAGCACCATCCCATGGGTTGGGGTCCATGCTGAATAAAAAGCGGGAAAGAAGAAAGAACAACATTCATCTTTTTCTCTCTGTTTCATCTACCGTGTAGATGGTCCTACACCCAAGCACATGAAGGCATCACTATGTGGACTCAACATGGTTTTTTAAGAAAAAGCACATGAAGTTGTGAGAGACAAGTGTTAGGGGGGATAAGGGATGAATTGGAGGGGGGAAATGGGGAGTATATTTGATTAAAACACCTTATATGCATATATAAAATTTTCAAACATTAAAAAATAATATCTTCATATTTATGAGGTTTATAAGTTACATAAATATGTGGAGTGCTAATAAAAATCATAAACTGATAAAATGTAAAAATTAGAATATTAAATGTGATTCTAAAATGCTTTCTGTACTAATTTCATACATTTAAAAATCTTTCTTTTTTAAAATTTTATGTATGTTAGTGTTTTTGCCTGCATGTATTTAAGTGCAACCATGAGAGCCATGTCCACGGAGGCCAGAGGAAGGAATTGGATTCCCTGGAACTGGAGTTACAGATGGTAGTTAGCTGCGATTGTGGGTGCTGGGAAATGAACCCCAGTCCTCTTCAAGAGCAGTAGTTGATCTTAACAGCTGAGCCATCTCTCCAACTCCTAGTCTTATACTCATATTGAAATGTGAAAGTGAATGCTTAGAAATATATTGAAAAGTGATTGGATATGAGCTGGGAGTTGGTGGCACATGCCTTTAGTCCCAGCACTGGTGAGGAAAAGGCAACTGGATCTCTGAGACTGAGGTCAGCCTGGTCTGCATAGCGAGTTCCAGGCCAGCTAGGGATATGGGGAGACTCTGCCTCAAAAAGAATAAAAAGTAGAAATAAAAAATTACTCAAAGGGTTGAAATGGTTTTTAGCTATGAACTATGGTGTTAATGAAAGGAACAAGCAGTCATCAAAAGGCTACTTTCCACATGATGTGACACCCATTCAAGGATAGTTATTACTGTTATTCTATACTCTATTTGCTATGTGATTTCAATATAATGAATTTTTTTTCAATATATCCTTTCAAACCTGTTTTATCATTTCAAGTACAAACAAAACTTTATTAAACATTTGTTTATAACTTTTGGAGAACATGTTGACTCTTGAATTATCAAGGTTGATTCTAGTTTCCAGAAGCCTGGGTTTGAAAACAAATTTTTCTTTCATATGTATTTAGGTGCTAACCTGAGTAGTTTATACAGAATGAATTCAGAATCCAGTGGTGTCTCTTTCAGGCAGCATACTACTTAATTTATGCTTTAAAAATAGTTTGAAAATAAATCAGAACTGTGCTCTCTTTTAAATTTTCTGTTTCTGTGTTTCCATTTTATTCTTCTGTGTTGTTGTGGATCATGAGGTACAGTGCTACTCAGCGCACATCTTTAAGAGGCGTCTCAAATGGAATATCGAAGAAACAAAATCTTTACTCTCCCAACTCTCAAAAACTGATCTTCCAAGCTGACCTTTCCCTGTAGATGGTGTCACCGTCCACTCAGTTATTCTAGCAGTTATCATCCATGTCTCTTCTTCATCTCTGCTATATCCAATTTATTAACAAGTGCTACTGATTCTACATATAAGTCATATCCCTAACCCATTCACCTCTCTCAGTGTCTCTTATCTACTTGAAGCCATAATTTTTTCACTGGCCTTGGGTCAAGTTAACAAAGTTTCTCCCCATCACTACCACCACTTTTTCCCCCTTCTTTAAGAACAAATTTGACTTAGGGTTAACTTTCTACCTTTGTTAGCCTGGAAACTATATTAAGACGTAATACTACCCTGGTTCTAAGCTTGTGGAAAATATGACCTTAATGATAAAATACATCTGTACTGAGAAGAACTAGATAAAAGAAGTTGAAATACCTTGAGGGGGTTGCAGTTCGATGGAAAAGTACTTGCCTAGCATGTGTGAGGCCCAAAGTTCAATTCCCAGCACCACAACACACACACACACACACACACACACACACACATGTAAATAATAAATAAATAAATAAATAAATAAATAAAATGGTATCTCATAGGAATCCAGAGCACTGGGCCTCCCTGAAGCCATGACCCTGATAACTAACAATGTCTCTTGTATGGAAACAGGAGCTGTGTATAAGGACTTTTACAGCATATAAGCGCATGTGAATCATGGGCCTTCTGAAGCATCACCCCTATTATCCTTATTTCCATGAAGGCCTTTGGTGAAGAGAGACACACAGAAATAATTTCCAGGTCTGCCATATCTACCTGTCATGAAGGCTCTCAAACTATAAGATTGTGAGATGCTTCCCCACCAGCCTGTTGAGTTTCTCAACCTATACATCTCTGAGATTAAATGTTTCCTTGTAAATTCAACAGCTTAATTTGGCCTAAAAACGTTTTTTAATGAAAGGCACATCCCCATTAAACACTAGAGCTCTCCTAGAATCCATTTTCCATTTTATGATCTATCTACTTACTGATTTATTTTTATCTTATGTGTATGAGTGCTTTGCCTGCATGTGTACCATGTGTGTGCAATTCCCGCAGAGGCCAGAAGAGGGTGTTGCATCCCCTGGAACTGGAGTTACAGATAGCTGTTAGCCTCCATCTGGGCATTGAGAACCAAACCCTAGATCCTCTGCAAGAGCAGTCAGTGCTCTTAACTGCTGAGTCATCTCTCCAGCCCCTTCCATTTTATGTTTAAAGTAAAAACTTTATGTATAAATAAAATGTCAATTCCTTGCTAAAAATCCTCCCATTCAAAATGGAAGTCTATTTCTTCACCCAGATTTCTAAAATCCCACAAGACCTGGCCCTTGCTGACTCTCCAGGGTCATCTTGTACTTTCTTCTCATCCTTCCCTCAGCCCTCAGTGGTCAGCCTTTATTTCTAGACTACATCAGCCCGTTCTCCCCTAAGCCCTCGGTTCTATGCTCCTTCTACAGGAAATATTCTTCCATCCCACCTTTTGTGGAGTTTGGTTTTGTTGTTGTTTTGCTGGTTTTAGGATTTTTGAGACAGGGTCCAAAACTGTAGCCCAGACTGTCCCGAAACTCACCATGTAACCCAGGCTAGCAACACAGCAATCCTTTGGCCTTAGCCTCATGAGTTATTCCGATTTCAGTGATGGGTTCTCTGATTTCTATTCTAATGTAGTCACTCAGGAACTCTCTAGAAAAGCATCTTACTTTAGTTTTTTGATAAGCATATCATTGTGAGCCTATGTATTTATTCATTTATAATCTAACTCTCTTGTTGGATTATGAGGCCCAGGACAGCAGGAGTTTACATCTACCCTCTCTCTACTGTACAGCGTATTGCAGGACACCTAGCATTTATAGGCATAGCATTCGGTAATGAATGAAATAGTAATAATAGAAATAAAAAAGGCATGTTATGACTAGTGTGTCATCTTCTGTCACTTCTTGCTGGTATGTTACAAGGCTCACTGTCTTCCTTATTAGGCTTTTCAAACTATAAGGAGGGTGTTAAGATAGATGATGAACTAAGCAAATGTCAGGTTCATTTTATTCAGGATGCAAGATCCTAGATATCCTTTTACCTAAACACATTCATCAAAATTCAAAAAACAAATAAGATAGGCCCAGGGAAGCCTACAGAGTTTGTATACACTTTAAATGACTGGATTAGAGTCCATGATGTCTGAAATGAATACCAGCTTTCGGTTTTCAACAGCAGTTGCAAACTATTCCTTTAAAATCCCGTTAAAAAACCTTATGCTCAGCTAATGAGAAGATAGACAGCCCTAAAGACCACATCGTGACAGTTTTGCTAACAAAGCATTGTCTGGGCCATCTAGCTGTGGAGTCTACACTCATGTTAATTCTTAGCACACACATGTGCATTAATTTTCAACATTTTGAGCTTTTCAGCTGATGTTTTTGAGTTTTATTTCAAGAGGATTTAAAGAAAATTGTAAAGATAGAAGCAATATTCTCCTAGAGAACAGATGTTCTAATGAACAACATACAATAGAGATCATTATCTCTCCCATGTTGCATTTTGTCCCCCTTTGCTTAGTTATGTCAGTAAGCATTAAGGTTGTATGTTTGTGTGTGAGTTATATAAACTTTAATCAGGTGTTTTAAACTAGTAATTCGTTAATCTTCTCTATCTCCCAAATTTAGAGTGGGCCTTCAGTAAGTACTACATGGTGTTTGGACAGTTATATTACTTTTCCAAACTTAAAAGACAAAAACCACAATGTATCTCTCTTCCCTTCCCATTTTCTTTCTTCCTGTATGTATTATACATATACATCTTTTTATCTTGTTTCTAGGTTCCCATATGAAAAGCTCAATGGCTCTTGGCAAAAGGTGAGCAAGGTAACTACAGGACACCACGACCTGGCCCGACAAGGATATAAATATTTCACAGACATCAAACCAGGGGCATTTGCCTCTTTACCAGTTAGCAAATAACCTCCTGGGGTCCAGAACTGAAAGTCCTCTTCCTTTATCTCCCACAAATGGGACAGACGTGTAGTAGTTTCTAGCTCTTTTTCCCTCACTGAACCCAGGAAAAATTCTCTCTTTCTCTCTCTCTCGCTCCTCTCTCTCACTCTCTCTTGCTCTCTCTCCCCACACTTGTGGCTGCTCACGCCTATAATGGGGAATGCAGCATAGGTGTTCTCATAATAGTTTGGAGCTAAAATTACTTTTAATCTCCACCAGTGTTTTAAAGTGAAAAGATAATTTTTGCACTCTAGTGAAAGTATTCTTACATATATTTTCAACTAAATGCAAGAAGTTCTATGAACTCTGTATAAGCGATGGGGAGAAAGACTGAAGGTTTTCCTTCAGTGACAGGCTTCCCAGCTTTCCTCCCTCTTCTCCTTCCTTTGTTCCTTCCTTCCTTTCTCTTTTCCTTTTTCCTGTATACAAGATCTCATACTGCCCCCAGGAAAACATGAAGCTGGCTTGGAACTCACTACATACTCCAGATTGGTTTGGAACTTTGATAATCCTCCTGCCTAGTTCACCCTAGTACCACCTTGCTCAGCTCCAGTGTGAAGGTTAATATTTATTTAGAATCAATTAATTAGCTTTTGTGCTTGAGATTGAACTTGAGTCTCTACATGCTAAACAGCATTTTATCACTGAAATAATATTCTCAACCCTTTCTCCCCAGTGATTATAGAATGATCACTTTTTATCCAAAATTGTTTTTTTTTTTAATCTTACCCCTAATTAATGTAAATTTCTTCCTCAACTGAAGAAGTAGAAGGGCAGTTAGAATACTACAGTGTGCAGTAACTTCCAAAGTGTTTGGTTAATTGTTCTAAAAGTAAAGCCTGAGTGTTTCCCAATAAATCTTGTAATCTCATTGAGAGAAGGGTAAGTTTTGCTGATCACTTTCTTATTTCCGTTAGCACAACACATGACTATCCACATTCAATAAAGAAAAAGAACATAGGTTTCCACATACACACCCTGAGGATATAAAGATGAAATTGCCTAGTTTCTGAAAGGCAAGGAAATCTAATTAATCTCAAAAGTGTTTTCGTCAACAAGAAAAAAACCTACTTATAACCAATTAAAAGACTATTTCAAGGAAAAGGATTAAGAAGAGAGATGTGCCCAGGAATGTAAAATGATTAGGGCTGTTACCTTCTTTCACGGACAGCGCCTCCAGCTTGAGGGGCAGATCAGATGTTGCAGCTGCAGCAGCTGAAATCTGGATGTCAGGAACGGCATTGCGTCGGCCAGCCCTTGCTGAAGATGCGAAGCTGCTGATCACAGACTCCACATCAGTCATCTCTGATGAATCTGTCCTCATAACAGTACCTATAAATAGAATGTGCACATGAAGAGGATGAGCCAAAGGGTCACCCTCAGAGACTGATGGACAAAGCTAGATCAAAACCGTCACAGGCTTAAAGATCTGATTACTGGTGGCACCCTCCCCAATGTCTATGCCTTGGTCTAGGGACTCTAACGTGAATATTTTCTGAATAGAGCTGGAAGTCCTCCTGTGAGCCAGATTGCTATAAATAATCCCTGGCCCAAAGCACCTCTTGAACATTTGAGGGTGCAGTAAGCCTGGCCTTTTGTTCTACTTTTCAGTGGATGAATCAGTCAAGCCAAAGCTTGGAAGACAGTGAAAATGATGTGGCCACTCCCAGAGAGACTCCGCCCGCTAGTATTTGTAGTGCTTGTTTTGACCAAAATAAAATCACTATAATTGTGAGTAATAAAATACTTCTTTTCTTACTCTTTAGAATAAGAAATTCCACTTTATCTCCAAGGCATTTCCCAGCAAGTTGTGTATTTCAGTTCTGACTCAGATCACATTTTCAACAGACTCATGTGTATGCTAAAGAAAGCTAGGGACTGTTGTCCTCGTTCTTGCCTTTGGGTGGACATGGTCATCGCTGGCACTTTCCTCAGCATTCTTTATCTTCTAGTTATGGTCCCTTTTCTAAAAAATTCTCAAGAAGTCACTGTTGTGCAGGAGATAGCAGATATCGCTTATTCTACAAGGTTTAAACTGACCCTCTTTCACAGGATGGTTTTTCAAAGTTTTCCTAAGACATTAATGCTGAACTTCAAACCAAAAGCAGCAATGGCAGCAGAAAGCTTTAACTGAGAAGGTATTGTGTGCCGGGTTCTCAGCTAGGCACTGAGAATGCAAAGAAATTACATACTTCCCACGGTCAGGGTATCTGCACTATTGAGGAGCAGCAGAAGGAATGCACACCATGACAGATGATCAGAACACAAAATGTTCCCAGTGTTCACTGAAGGATGGAATTACCTTCTTTGGAATTTAGGAGTTAGTAAACCATGGCCTACAGAGCAAGCCAACCTTCCTGCAATAGTTGGAGGGGAACTTTTCCCAAAAGAGTCAACTTCAATTTAGAAATGACAAAAACCAAGTGAGGGAGTCATTTAAACATGATGCATCTGGTACTAGGAACACAGATTCTGTAGAACATCACACACAAGAAATCCATGTGTGGAGTCTGTGTGGTCCTCAGGACAGCAGGGGCAGTCTGCAAATACCTACAAAAAGAGGTCTTTTGTTGTTGTGCTAGGTAATCTCCTTTTACACGGATCATGAGAGGTTTGCAGGCAGTTTCAGAATCAGACTTTCAGCTGCTGGATATTTGTCAACTGTCTGGTACTGACGTCTTGGAAAAAATGTAACGAGAGTTGTACAATTAGTTCAAAAGAATCCACTTGATTACAGACTTACAAGATGACAGTGGTCAGTTCATCAGCTTTTATGAGTCACAGTTTCTCCCCATATATCAGACATAACAATTAGCTTGACTGATTCACAAGATTCTCCTTGTGGAGGACTAGTAAGATAAAGGATAAATTCTCTCTGTTCATATAAAATGATTGATGAGTGGTTACCTGCATTACTGTTCACATCACAGTTTTACTTTACCACTCTCCTGTGTATCCTCTTCCATCCCAACAAGAAGTGCATTCCTACTAGAGACCTCCTGAGATTCCTAACAGGGAAACCAGCCTTCCTCAATGCCGTCAATGGATACTTTGTGTCTATTACCTCATTTAAACCTCCCTGATAATTCTATGATGTAATGAAATATGACCCACATTTTGAGAATGTAGCTCCTGGGGCTGAGAGGTTCAGTGACTGACTTAAAGTTGCATAGCTACTAATCTAACATTGGCTAGAAATTCAGTTCAGTTCATTGTGAAATAAAAATGATATATGAAGAAACAATCTTCCCAAATTCTTGTGATATGTGCAGCTAGCTGAACACATACTTTCTTTAGAATTTGCTCTTCATTAATTTTGAAACAAAAAGAATTCTCCTTTGTGTGTGTGTGTGTGTGTGTGTGTGTGTGTGTGTGTGTGTGTGTGGTTTTTGTATAAGGGATGGTGATAGGGTGAAACAGACACAGGCATTCTTCTCTATTTTAAATTTCTGGGTAACTTGTAAGAAACTCTACTCAGGATAAATTACAGTATCAAAGAATCTTCTCTATAACTTGTGAAAAATATCTGATGCCATCTTGAAAGCAGACTTGGTCCTCAAGTCCATTATCATCAATTCAAAAGTGATAGCCGTAATCAGGTGTTTATCTGTGAGAAGAACCTCTCTGCAAACAAAATAATGATAGGCTTGGTGGACCAGATACATGGCCTCTTGAAGCTAAAGAAAATATTAAGTGTAAAATAGTAAGATACAATATCTTGAAGATTTAAAAGCTATACATAATAAATAAAATGGTAAAGTTAACAAGGTGAGAAAAGTTAAAGGATGATTTATATCTTGTACTGAAAGTGAACTTCTAATCCTCTTTGTATTTTACACATTGTAGACAGATGCCAACTAGCATATTGAAAGAGAACTTCTTTAAAAAGAAGTTATTTTATTTGCTATTTTTATTTATGTGTATGAGCGTATTGCCTCCATATGTATAAGTGCACCTGTGCCAAGCAGTGCCTGTGGAAGAAGGCATTGGATTCTCTTGGAACTGGATTTACACATGGTTGTGAGCCACCATGTGGACAGTAGGAATAGAACTCTGGTCTTCTAAGCCAGTACTCTTAATCACTGAGCCATCTCTCCAGCCCTGAAAGAGCACTTCTAAAAGGTGGCTACAGCCATTAACATACAAGAATTCTGGGCCCTAGGTTAATTTCGTTGCTATTGGCAGACTGCTATTGGGGAAGTCACTCCTTTTGCCTTTACATTATTATGCCATGCCCAGACTTCTAAATCCGTTGAGTGTTAGAGGACAAAATCCCTACACACTGAAAGTTTGTCAGCTAGATTCCTTAACTGTGATCTTAAGATCAAGATCATAAATGGCTATTCAAGGAGACCAAGCTCCTTTACTCTGGAGCTTTATTGGGTGGTTTTTCAGTGTACATTTGGCATGTTGTTTGAGGAGCCTGCTACTGAGGCCACATAGGTCGACCAGATAGCTCACCACCTCAGCTCATAGAACTTAAAGAAGATGGAGCATTATGTGGTGAAAAAGGACTTTATCTTTCTGACCCAGTGTGTCAAAGGTTTACAGATAGTCTACAGGCCCTCTTGATTTTAACTACACTATCAGGCTCTTTGAATTTTCTGGCAATGAGACTTTTTGCAGCATTGGACATAATCTGAAAGTCCATTAAAATAGTATTAACAAACTATGAACACGGTGTTAGGAATTTTTTACTGCTGGTTGAAAAGAAAGTGTTAGATCTACCTATAGAGGTATGTCCATGGCCCATTTTAAAATAATGTAAAAGGAATATTTGTATTGTGGGAACATAAAGGGAGGGGTAATGAATATAAGATTATCTCAATTTTGTATAAAGAAAAAGTCCTATTTGAGAATGGCAGATAGATCAAGGAAAATATTGATCATTTTAGTACCTTTCTATGTGTTTAAATGTGTTATAATGAACACATGTTACTTTTATAATATGGAATGACCAAATCAAGAAAAATTATGAGTGAGCAGATAATTTAGCACAGAATGGCTCTAAAAGTAATATTTTGACCATATAAATAAAAGCTAGCAAATGAAGCGAAAGCCCTCCCCTTCCCTAAATAGTCATCTTATTTCTTTCTGTTTTCCTATATATTCATCACTTTTGATCAGTTTGCAAGGGATGATATATGTAGAGAGACAACTGCTCTCTTCAAATGCTTTGTGACATTTAAGCAACCTGTTGGAAGATGAGGTAACACCGCTAAGAGAAATAAGTGAGATAAGCTTTTAGGCATTTTTAATTTTGCAGGCTTAAAAAGCTAATTATATGAATGTTTGCCAACCAAGGCAGCAGGCTCACTAGCAAAGCTTTCTCTTTCCCTTTTACAGAATTAACAGAGGAAGGGTGAGTTCTGCTTAAAAGAAGTGGAACCATTGGCTAGTTGAGATTTCACTGAGGTCTTGTATTCCACAGTGAAGTAATGCAATTTATATATCAGTGACATACTCAATCTCAACTGAAAATAGAGTTTTTAGGATGTTCTAGCAAAAAACAAGGATACAGTCATATATACACAAATGCCAGCCTCTTTGCAACCTCCAAAATTTGGAAAAATGAAACATAAGTACAGCTGGAGAGGACAAGATGTTCAAGCTAAATAGAGCACCAGATATATACATACGTATATCATATATGCCTATTGACATACAATAGTGTGTGCACACATGTATAATCACTAAGTTCTACTGAGCTTAAGAGACTGCTAAGAAAATAATGTTTCTTTGTTGAAAACATAGCTATAAACAGAAGATTTGCACTTTCCCTGCAATTGAGGCAGTACATTTTCTTTGCTCATACACGTCTTTCCTCAGATGACCTTACTTGAAGCCTAGACAGAAGCAGGTTGACACCTCCTGCGTTTCTCATCTCTGGTTCCACATGGCTCACCCCATTTCCCTCAGTGAAACCATTACTTACTGGGTGCGTAACACTTCAAATAAATTTCTTATTTAGTTCTTGCTGAGAGTATGAGTCAGACTGTCTGAAAAAAAATACTTAGAATGACAAAAAGGGTTCTAAAAAGTATGTTTTGGAAAATCAGTGTTTTTCTTGGCTAAAGGCAAAGAGAAAAAGACAAAGACAGAAAGATCCTGATTTCAGCTGATGCATAGGGGCTGGGGACATAGCTCAGTGGTAGAGTACAAGCTTAACATGGGAGGCCTCAATGTTGAACATTTTTAAAAAGAAAGGAAAAGAAAAGAAGAGAGGAGAGGCGAGGAAAGGAGAGGAAAGGGGGGAGGGGAGAGGCAAAGCCTTTCCTATCTCTCTCCAGCTCTCAGTATCTTAATACCTTATGAAAGAGTTCAGTTCTCTT